GTGTGTGTGTGTGTGTGCGGTACCTGTTGAAGGCTGCCTGGTTCTCGGCCAGTGTGTGTTGCTCCTCGGCTCCAGATCGATAATAATCATACACAGCTTTGGGAAGAACTTTTCTGGCTTCAACCTCAAAGTCAGACACACACACACGCTGACCGGACATTTTCACCACCGTCTCTCTCTCTCTCTCTCTCACTCACACACACAGTGTGTGTGTTTATGTCTCAGGGTACCCTCAGGTGTGTAATCATTAACCAGTCAGCAGGGGGAGTGTCTGCTCCACTTCATGCAAACACGTTTCTCTAATCGTCTGATATGTAAAGGGACAGTTCACGTTTTTCCCCAGAGGTCCCTGTAACAAAGTCGATTAAAAAATTAAAAAAAAACAATATTTTCCCAGAAGCTCCTGCTTCATTCACGGACCTTTAACCAGGTTTGTTAAATTATAATGAAATCATGAGTGATCAAAGTGTCAGTGGAGGAGCAGTTACTGTATATCTGCAGAGCTTCTCAAACGCTGGCCCCTGGACCAGGATTGGGCCACAGGTCATTCAGTATCAGGCCTCAAGGAGAATGTTTTTTTTAAACATGTGTTTAACAATGTTTAATTAAAAAAAAAAAAAGACCAGATTGTCATCACTGATTTAAATCTACAGACACCAGTGAACGTTCAAACTCCACATCATGAGGCCACAGTGCTAACCACTGCACCACCATGTGGTTTAATCCTATTAATTCCTCTAATCATCACGTAATGTAATGTAAAAAATAAAAAAAATAGGACACCTTCTCTAAGTTCCATGTTTATTTGGCATTCAACAAAATCCACTAAAAGCTTCAAGAATTAACAGTTTGCACCTTCACCAAAAACATAATAATTCCCACTAAAAATGTAAAACTAGAACGTCAGGACTTAATAAAATACAAGCAGTGAGAGAAGAGGTGAGGTGAAGTCAACAGAGAGTAAAAGGAGGCAGGAGTGACGCCACCCGGCAGCCGTGTGACCACAGGCCCGCACCTCCAGCAGGTGGAGATGAGGAGTCACACCGAGGCCACTCCTCCTGCTCCTCCGCCTTCACAGAACCTGTGGTCCGGATCCACACGACCAAAAACAAAGTCCACGTCACCCCCTTCGTCACTTCTCACGTAAAGTTCAGTTTCAATAAGATTCATTTCTGCGGCCGTTTCTCCCGACCCCACGTTGGGTCGGGTGAAGGAGTCAAGAATGATGTCCAACCACCGTTCTCCTCACTTCCTCCTCAGCCCCGTCGCCTGCGGCCGTTCAGAATCACAACAAGGAAAAGGTCATGAAAAAAGTGTGGCTACGTGAACGCATTGTTCATCCCAGTGTCCCCTCCCCCCCCGTGAAGTCCCACCCACAGCCCGTCGGCCGTGTGCTTCGGGGGGGAAACGCTCATCACTTCCTGCTTCCACCTGGTCTCAGGTGACGGTTGGATCAACGACAGGAAACAGTGATGATTATGGGAACAACTTGATAGTGAGCTATGCAGGTGAGGGGGGAAGGCGTCACCAAGTTGAGGGGGAGGAGGCCTTCGCCTTCCTTCCCCCCCTCCCCACCCGGCGCCGCTTTGCTCGGTCAAACCCCAAAAAGGGAGGCGGGGCCCGCAGACCCACTAAGCGTGGTGTTAGCTGGATCGCCGGTGGTTGGGGGAGTGTGGATGCAGCGATGCTTCGAGATCGCCGCCCCAGTCTGGGTGCCCAGGAGAGCGGGAGGGCAGACCAAGAAATCCGCTTCCCGTTTCCTCTCCCCAGTGTGGCCCGGTGCTGCTGTTTCCGACACCCCAGATCCGCTGGACTCTGGTGGATCCCCAAGCCTTTGCTGGATCACAGACATGAAAGCAAGACGGTGCTCACACCCAGGCGGTCCAGCCCTCGTACAGCTGGGCCAGGTTGTCCATGTTGGTGGCCTCCTTGATGACCAAGTCCACCTGCGGGAAAACAGCGGCCCGTGACTCCAGCAATCATTTAACAAGGTCAACCTGAAGGTCAAGCGTCAGTGTGTTTGTGTGTGTGTGTGTGTGCTGGTACCTGCTCGGCCACACTCAACCTCCTGTTGGGGTCGATGTCCCTCCCCTCCAGCTTGGCCTTCACTCTCTTCCACACGCTGACTGCGTATGAGTTTCTCTCCTGAACAGCTGTAACACAAGGATTAAAAAAAAAACAAAACAGTTTCAGTCTGACATCAGAGCAGCAACACCTCTGTCGTCGTCAGGACCAAAACTGAACCCATGTCGTCGTCATCGTCAGGACCAAAACTGAACCCATCATTAACTCATTACCTCGTCCAGTTTTGGGGTCTCGTACAGCCCTCTTGGGGCTGGGGTTGAGGCCTCTGCTGTTGACCACCAGGGTGCTGGGCGGGGTGTCAGTGGGCGTTCCAAAGTTGCGTGGCAGACCCTTGCGTGCGTTCTGGGACATGGAGTCCGGCTGCGTCTTCACCCCGCTGCACCTCACAGCTGGACAGAGGACGAGAGGTCAAAGCGAGCGTCAGTCACATGATGTCGTGAATCTCAGGTCTAAACGACGACGCTCCCTGGTACCGAACAACTAGTTCTAAATGCTTTCCCGGTCTGTGATGACGTACCTGCTGCAAAGCTGGTCTGTGCTGCAGAAACAGGACTTCCACATTCACTCTCTCTGTCCGTCACCAGCGGGGACGCGAACCCGACCAGGCCGTTGTAGACGCTGCAGCAGAGCAAACAGGCAACATGGAAACAGAACACATTCAGGTCCGTGACATTTGACTCAACTGGACCAGACACTGCAGTACAGTGGGCTGTGAACCACATGGTAGGTGAGGGTTTGACCTTTCAGTGTGTGTGTGTGTTTCGTGCCAATACCTCTGGCTCTGAGAGTTCAGCTCCTTCAGCGTAGCAGGGATCTCCTCCAGCAGACCCAGCTGTTCCGGGTTGCGGTGCTGCCCACTGGCCTGGACAATGGTGAACAGCACCAGCTGGACGTTGTCCTGCCAGGCCTTGTACTCCAACAGGAAGTGACGCACGCTGCCCTCATACGCCACTTCTTCACCGTCCGCCAGAGCGGCCTCCTCGTCCTGGAGGACACAGAGACACCACGTGAGTTCAGACCGGGACACGGGTCACGTTCAGCCCACGTCAGAACTCCTCCTACCTTAGCCATGGCTCTCAGCAGGTGTTTGACGTCGGCCAACTGACGGTTGTGGTTGGACAGGATGGTTTTGATGGAGTCCACCAGGAGCTGCAGGGTCTCGCCGCAGGACTCCAGCTGCTGCTCTCGCTCCTCCTGACTCCTACGCGCCCCCCTCAGCTCCTCCTCCAGCAGCCTCTGGGCACAGCTCAGCCAATCAGAGCTGCCGATGGGTAGGTCAAGCATCGGACTCTGCGTGGACAGACGAGGTTATAGAAGGTTAAGTGATCTGAACCCGAACGTGTGGTGTTTTCCTGTTGAAGATGCGAGGCCCGTCCTCTGACCAGCAGAGGGGGACAGAGGACAACCTCACCAGTCTGTGCAGCAGCTGCAGCTCCAGTGGAGACACCGCGCTGTTGAACTGAGCAGCGTAGGTGCAGGTCTGCTGGCAGCGCTTCAGCAGCTCAAACAGAGCAGCGTCCATGTTGAGAGCCTCGGGAGAGCGAGTCCGCAGGCCTTCAAAGTTCAGGATGGTGGAGCACAAGAAGGTGACCTGAGGAAGGGTCGGCCGGAAAAGGTCACCAAGTGGTAAAACCACAGAATTACAGGATTATTTTAGTGGTAAAAAAAAACCATCCTGAAATTATAGGATTATTCTACTGAAAAAAACAAAGAATTACAAAAATATTTTAGTAATAAAACAAAGAATTAAAGGATTATTTTATTTTAAAAAAACAGAATTAGAGGATTATTTTACTGGTAAAAAAACTACAGGAATTATAGGATTATTCTACTGGAAAAAAAACAAATAATTACAGAAATATTTTAGTAATAAAACAAAGAATTAAAGGATTATTTTATTTAAAAAACTACAGGAATTATAGGATTATTCTATTGGGAAAAAAAACAGAATTACAAGAATATATTAGTAATAAAAACCACAGAATGACAGGATTATTTCAGTGGTAAAAACCTGGTCATTTGTCATAAGGTCCGGGTTACCTGACTGGTGCGCTGGTTCTCTCGAGCCACCAGCCCTCGTTTGTCCCTGATGGTCATCTCAAAGTCCTGCAGGACTGGAGCCAGTGCTGGGTTGGCTCCTCCAGCCCACTTCAGACGCTGTTCAATGCTGGCTTCCAGAGACGCCAACTTCTCCTGAACACAGCAGTCACACACATTATTGTATATCCTCTCCTGTACATTGACCAGGTAGTTAATAGTCATTTCTGGGTAAAGGGGAGTCTCTGGTGGCAGGATGATGAACTGATGACGTTCTCACCTGTATGGACACCACCGCTCCCTCGTCCTGACTCAGCCTGTACAGCTTCTTCTTCATGTTGCTGAGGATGATGGAACGAGGAGGGATGCTCAGGCTGATGGGCTGGTTGTTGGGGCTGAGAACATCTTCATGCTGCCACTGAGAACACAAGCCACAGCACATGACATCCAAACTAAAAATAAAAAAAAGAAACCTAGAAAGTGTTTCTAAGAGTTGACCAAACAGTACCTGGAACATGACCATGTGCAGCTGGCTCCTCTGCAGACTGGCCTTCGCAGCCTCCAGGTTGTTGTCCAGCCTCCGCAGCAGGTCCAGCTTCTTCCAGGCTGTGTCGTAGGAGGAGGCTAAAACCGTGGCTCTGTTCAGCAGCAGCTGAGTGACGCGGCCTGAGGCCAGGCTCTGCTCCACCGCCTTCTTACACAGCTCATCCAGGGACACCTGCGGGGAAGAGAACACGAGATGCTGTGGCTCCAAATATCTTCTAAGAGTATCTGACCAGAACCATCTCCTGCGGCCCTGCCCCTCGACTGACCCACAGTTCCTACCTGGCTCTCTGCACTGTAGTCTTTCGCCTCCACCTGGGTGACGACGTCGAGGCCGAGGGCAGACATGGTGGCACAGAGGGCCAGACCCAGGGCTTGGCTGGGCAAACCCATGAGCATCTGTCGTACAAACTCCGCCGTGAAGGCCCTGATTGGCCGGGTCATCTGCTCCTCGCTCACCACGGCCACACCCGACCCCGCTGAGGAGGGTCGCTGGTACAGGGGCTTCCCCAGGACGACCGGGCCGTTAGAGGGCAACAGTTCTTCAGAGGAGGGACAGGAACCTGGACACGAGACATGTACGTCTGTTTTTACACACATGCATACAAACATATTTACATACATAAGTGTTAATGTGTGATTAATTTATTTTTTTTACCAGACAGAGTCTGTGAGAAGGAGGAGCAGAGCCTGAAGAAGTCCTGGATGGTCTGCAGTCTCTTCAGAAAGAACACCTCCTCCATCAGCTGCCACTGGGCCAGGCTGTCAAACAGGTGGAGCTGAGCGGCCCCCGCCTCCCGCAGAACGTCAACCTTCCTCCAGGCCGAGGGAACCTCCAGAGAACTCAGCTGAGGAGCAGGAAGACGACAAACGTCACCACAAAAAAAACGAGCCTCAAGGCGTTGGATGTAAATCATTTGGACGTAAAACGACGACTTCTGTCAATGTTTCTAACATCATTTCACTGAGTAGTTTTCCCATTAGGAAAAATGTGGTTGACGTCACCACAGATTTCCACAAAGATGATGCAGCCTCATAAGATGAAAAGAGCTTTTTCTGACACAACTAAAAAAAAAAAAAACAAAAATCTCATTCATCATCCAAACCAGTGATGTCACAGATCCTCTCTGACCTTTTCTGCCAGTTGTCCGAAGGCCGTCTCCAGCTGGGTGAACATGCCGTCGAAGGCCACCAGCAACATCTGACCCGCGGACATCTTTGGCGTTTCCTGTGCGAGTCTGTCCATGCTGCGAGGCTGGATCAGCTCGGAGTACTGAGCACGCAGCATCCTGAGGACAGAAACATGTGTTACGGCCCTCGTCTTAGGACGTGTGTGTCGTGTGATGGTGTGTTTTCTAAAAAATAAACTAAAGTCTAAATTTTAAATTTTAAGGGTTGAAGTCTCATGCTCAGTGCAGTGGTTACCCAGAATGCTGCAGGTGGTGGTTCGTGTTTTCTAAAAAATAAACTCTAGTCTAAATTTTAAACTTTAAGGGTTGAACTCAGTCACATGCTCAGTGCGGTGGTTACCCAGAATGCTGCAGGTGGTGTTTACTACAGATGTTTACTCAGTAATGTGTCAAGAGCAGAGAGTGGAGAGAGAGTAAAGTCCAAACAAGCAGAGCCACAGAAGCACATGGACGAGTTACTTACTCTGCACAGTTGTTCTAGTTTTGATTTCCTCTAACATTAAACAAAAACTTAGTTTTGACTAAAAAAATTACAGTTGGAGCAAATGCTGAAAGGATTCTTATTCTCAAACATCGAATCTTTTAAGTCTCAGTCTTATGTCATTTGTGATTAGCTCCCTCTGTTGGTGCACAGGAGGAAAACCACCTCTGTCACAGCTGTGACCATCATCCCTGCAGCCACTGACCTGGAGATGTGGAAGAAGTGGTTTTGACCGTCGTGGTCCATGGCTGACGTGGCCTGCAGTCCGTCGATGAGGCCCTGAAGCCCCAGACCGTCCGAGCTCTGCTCCACCAGCTGCTCCAGCTCCGCCAACATGGCCTCCAGGGTGGGCTCTCCTTTAATCATACAGTGCAGAGCCTCTGGGAAGATGATCTGGCGAAAGTTGTTGTTGAGTTCCTGCAGTTACAGAAAAAAACACAGTTAAAAAAAACAAACAAAAAAAAAAAACAACTCCTCCTAGTGGTTACCCATCAGACTGCACCATCTCAGGTGGGCTACCTGTAGGCAGGTGTACACGGCGTTGGCCAGGTACACGGCCTGCGCCGTGGCCGAAGGAGCGTGCAGCTCCAGGTCATGTGGCAGGAGGGGGCAGCGCTGCAGCAGCGTGGTCAGGGCACTGATGTTTCCAATCATGCTGCAGAGTTCCTCCAGGAACCAGGCACCGTCTCGGGACGTCAACTCCAGCAGCTTCTCTCCAGCGCTGGCTGCCGCGGCCTCCATCACCAGGTTCCTCCTGAAGAGGGAATACAAGGCGGTGAGACTTTGTTTCACAGTAGACACGATGATGTCCCTTCTAAGCAGGTGACTGAGTGCCATCTAAAGCAAAATTTTGAATTGATTATCCTTGTTTATCATATTTTTAGGATCCAAATCAAGGTAGAATTTCCTAAGATCTCTACAAAAAAATGTCCAAGCTTTTACATTTTAAACATACAATCCTTCTAAAGCAGAATTCTCTCGACTGACAGAAGACAAGATGGGAGAAAATGCACATAAATGTGTTCGACCTGCAGAGAGTGCAGAGGGCGGAGGTGATGATCCCGGCCAGGCTGAGCGAGCCCTGCTCTCCGTTCTCCCGCAGGTAGACGGTGATGCAGCGTTCGATCTCCTGCAGCTGCTCCTCGCAGTCGGCGGCACTCGTGCCCTCGGTCTTCCGTCTGTCCGCCTGGTGCATCACGCATTCGTTGGCTTCGGCCACTTGGTGCTGCAGCGCCAGCTCCACACTGGACAGGAACTGGCACAGAGCCGAGGGAGCCTGAGGGGCAAACAGCACCTCGTACCTGCAGGGGGCGCAGAGGGGTCATTTGTGGACATTAAAAAAAAAAATAAAATGAATTAAAATGTGGCAGCCACTTACTGTCTGTACATGAGCTGACAGTGCTCCACCGTCATGTCCCTCAGCAGTTCCTCCAACCACGTCTTCCACTGGTGGACGCGGTGGAGCAGCAGGGTGGCTCGTGGGTAGAGCAGAGCCACCGTGGCGTAGCTGTGCAGCTGCTCCAGACATCCGTGAAGGGCCCCACGGCGCTGCTGCAGCAGAGAGCTCAGCTCCGCCTCCAGGCTCTCGCACTGGCTGATCAGGTGGGCCTGGCCGGCGTTCTGCAGAAAGGCCGTGGCTGGAACATAACTGGGAGGACCTGGAGTATGGAGACGTAAGAAAAGGAAAATAAAACAAACGAGGAGGATAGTCCGTGTTCATCTGCTGACTGAAGGTCCTGAGAACCTTACCCAGGTCTATGGGGCTGCTGATGTCCTGCAGCAGACTGGCCAGCTGCGTGGCCTCCAGGTTGGTGAAGGCTGCCTGGTACTGGGAGATCCACTGGTCCAGATCGGCCAGTTTGCTCTGAATGGCCTCCTGCACGGTGCGCTGTCGCGACTGCAGCTGGTTGTGTTCAGAATACCTGTAAAATACATTTGACAAATAAATACAGCCGTACTCTCTGTGTGTGTCTGTTTCTGGAGACATGAAGATATGTCTGTGAATGTTCAGACCTTTGCTCAAGGGTGAGGATGAGGTGGTCCGGATGGTTCTCCGCTCCGTCCAGGAAGTTGATCTCCTCCTGCAGTTTGCCTTGTAGCTTCTCCCCCTGACAGAGCAGCTCCTGCAGGACCAAGTACTCCCCTACTGCCTCCTCCACTTGGGGCAGCACTGACAGCATCTCGTCACGGTTCTTAAACCAGTTCACCTGTGCACAGGCCACATAGAATTTAAATTCACAAATCTGAAGACATTCAGAAATCTGCTTCATTCCTTTCATTCTCTGGACAGAGAAAAACACTCTGTTTTAATTGGACAGTTTTTGTTTCATCATCAAACTACCCCCGTGTGAGGAGACCACGGTGGTACCTTTATCTCAGCCACCCTGGAGGAGAAGAGGGAGCGTGTGATGTCTCTCTCCATCTCCCTCTTGCTCTGTTTGCTGTCGGCTTGTTGACCGCCGCCTCCGTACACGGCACCGGCGAAGCCCACCTCCCCACCAGCCGTCCAGTCCACCAGGGGATCGTAGACAAAGGCCTCCAGCAGGGTCAGCAGCGTCTCCCTTCCTCGACGCATCATTTGCACCACCTGAAACCACGGGCGCACACGTCAGCGGTTCTCATAGAACTTCCTGTTACACAGTCGTGTTACACTGTGGAGTGTGTGTGACGTTACCTGTTCACAGGACAGCCTGACTGAAACAACAGGCGTACACGTCAGCGGTTCTTATAGAACTTCCTGTTACACAATCGTGTTACACTGTGTGTGTGTGTGTGTGTGTGTGACACGTTACCTGTTCACAGGACAGCCTGAAGATACCCTCCACCCCACTGACCCCCAGAGCTGCCTCAATGTTGTGGGTCATCCTGAACGGAACTTTCTCTGGAACGCGCAGACTCTTGCCTGGTGACACACACACAAACATGATGTATATGACACACACACACACATCACATCACATCAAACCCACACTTTGTACCATGTTCACACACTAACCTTTTTCAAAACACACATTGTAGTCAATGTGCACCACCTCCCCGGCGGGCATGTCAATCAAGACATTGTTTGCCTGGTGACACACACGCAAACATGATGTATATGACACACACACACACATCACATCACATCAAACCCACACTTTGTACCATGTACACACACTAACCTTTTTCAAAACACACATTGTAGTCAATGTGCACCACCTCCCCGGTGGTCATGTCAATCAAGACATTGTCCAGGTGACGGTCTCCGAGGCCGATGATGTAACCGACCATGGACATCACAGCCGTGGACCTGGCGTAAGACTGAAACCACGAAGAAGAAACGGAGATCAACGTCAGGGTGTTGATGCACAGCGTACTGTACAGGTGAACGTGGTGCTGACGTGGTCACCCACCTGAGTGACTCTCCACCACTCGCTGGGGGTGGTGCAGGAACACCACAGCTCCTTGGCCAGCAGGTTGGAGGGCGTGGATTCCATCAACTCTTTCAGAACCTCCTTCATGACACCGAGAGGCCAGTCCCTCCGCGTTATGTCCAGACTCAGTCCGACAGCTTTCAGCGCTGGCCCGATGCGGCTGTAGTACAGCTCACTGGGACGTGGCACTGGGGGCACTGGGTGCTGCTGGAACGAGTCCTGGGCCTGGTCAAGAAAAAAAAAAAAAAAGTCCATTAAGAATTGAACAAGCTTGACTAGTTTGGGAACAACAGGAAGTCCTGGTGTAGAGCGTCATGCATGCAGTCGACCTGCAGGGGTCAGAGTTGAGGAGTTTGTACCTTCTGAGCTTGGAGCACAGCCTCCCTCTGCTGCCAGCGCTTGTAGAGTCCAAACAGAGGCGTAGCTCCATCCACCCACTGGATCAGACCAGAACGTGTACCGAGAGGAGTGACGGAGTAGTGACGGGCGTGGAAGTGGGGCTGCTCCTGCTGGTTGATCTTCGTGAACATGGTGTTGACAATGGACAGGAACTGCATGATGCGCTCATCCAGATGAAGATCCTCCAGACCTGAGACCAGACACAGAGTTTTATTGACTATTTAGGTACAGAGAAACGTGTCAGAGTGAGGTGCGACGGAATTAATTTTTTTTTAAGGTGACTTCATATGATTAGATAGAAAAAAAAGTACACTTAGCAACATCTAGTGGTGGATAAATATATATTAGTCTCTCTAAGCTAACAAAAAACACATGTAGCCTTTAATGTGTTCATTTTAAAAACCATAAAAGTAGAAAACCTAGAGACAGTGTACGACACCGTCACCTTCATCAGAAGCTAAATGTAGCTATAAAACACGTGAATGTTTGTGCTCTCCTACCTTTGAACAGGTATGGGTACTTCTTGCCGTCCGAGCCGAGGAAGAAGAGTTTCTTGGGTTTGGTCTTTGTGGGCAGGATGGTGATGGTGTTGCCTACGCTCTGGATGTTGACTGCGTCCGACGCCGACACCTCCCCTGGCAGAGCCATCTCTGTCTTCGACATAGAGAGCAGGCGGGGGCTGATCTCGTCCAGGTGAAGAAGGTAGCTGGCTCTCTTCTGAGCTCGCTGCTGCAGACTTATCATGATCTGGACCGATGACGAAAGTTGGATCAAGTTTAGAGAGAGAGAGATTTGGAAATCTTTAGCTGAACACGTCAATGACAAACACACACCTGTTTGAAGGGCAGCCAGCTGCTGGCAGGGTTTGCAGGGTTGGCGGGGTTCTTCAGACGCTCCAGGGCGGAGGTGATGGCATCACCGTACGTCTGCTGGAACCACGTCTCGTGTGGAGTCTCGGCCGGAGTCGCTGTGATGCTGCGAACGTGGTCCAGGGCAAAAACCATGGGACGCATCAGAGCCGAGTGCTTCTCACGCATGATGGCGATCTTTTCATCCCTGCGGCACAGTGACACAGTGTGTGTGACGTTTGTTAAACAGGAACAGGAACCAGTACCAGGAGAGAAGGAAACAAAAAACAACTCACCTTCTCAGTGTGTTGTTGTTCTGGACCCTCTTGACCTCGTCCTCCAGCTGCTGGATTCGGCGCAGGACGTGCATGTGCTGCTGCTGTAACACGCCCAGCCACAGTTCATCCCACAGTAGAGTCACTCGCCGCAGTTCAGCCACCAGCTGCTGGACCTGAACACGTGCACATACACAGAGTTTTATTTTAGACCACAACATTCGGCGCCAACAAACAAACAAAAACGTCTCCATCTCCGTGTCCCACCTGCAGCACCATGGTCGGGTTGGCCAAGGAGAGCTTCTCCACGATTTTGCTGTAGCAGTCCTGCATCATGGCCTGGTCCTGACTTGAGCAAATGGCCGTCAACTCATCTGGACCTCCTTCTTGCCCAACACCCTCTGACCGCTCCTCCTCCTCCTCCACATCCAGACCTTCTCCCTGCATGCTGCCCAGGAAGGTGGGCAGAGCTGAGGGCAACTTATTTCCTGTCAAGACATCATTCAACATTTGACTTGGTGAAGATGCCGTTCCACGTGAGGCAGATGTTTTAACAGATGATTGTGAGTGGACTGTACACACCTGCACTCTGAGCCTCCCCTCCTAGAGAGAGGGAGCCCACAATGGCCGGGTAGAGGATCAGATGAGGGGAGTCCTGGGCCACTCGGCACAGCAGGCTGCAAATGCTCTGTCGGATGTAGGCCTCCGGATGGTTGAGACGGGAGAAGAGCTGTGGAATGATGCCTGAGGAGGAAACACATCACACGCAAGGACTTTAAATTAAAAAAAACCATTTAAATCACAAACCAATTTTTAGATTTTAAAAAAACCATTTAAATCACAAACCAATTCAACAATTCAATTCGAATCCAGCGGTTTCCAAAGTAGGGGGGCAGGGCCCTCCTCAGGGGCAGAAAGCTATAAAAATGGTATTGAGTGAGTCCTCAAAATATTGTTGACTGACCCTAAATTTTCTAAACATTACGATTCAAACATAGACAGGGAGACACACCTCTCCAGGGTGCTGTTGGGGTGGAGGCCAAGCCCAGCTCCAGACCTTCCCGGAGTTCTCCAGCGTGTTTCACCAGCAGACGAAGGAGGCGCAGCGTGGCCATGACTATGACGTCATCATTGCTCTGTTTGCTGTTGTGACAGGACAGCAGAAGCTTCGGGTCGTCTTCGTCTATTGGAACCTAGAAGAGACAAAGTCAACAGAGTTGAAGACACCAGAGCTGAGGGTCTCCAGCAGTTGGACCCATTCTCCCACTCCTCACCTGTCCTGCGTTCAACTTGAGGAAGGTAAAATAGGCTTGGCACGAGACGCGGTACAGACCAAAGATGCGATCCACCACCCGTCTCCAGACTTGAATCAGGCCGTCAGTGACAGGCTGGGCCGCCCCCACC